TTTAAGTCCAGAAGAAGATCAGCAAGGTGTTGGCATTTGCTATGCATGTGAAATGCATTCAACTGGAAGTTCTATTTTTTATCATTTTTTATTTAGAAAATGCATATGCTCACCATTCCCTTAATACAACTCTACATCATCATCGTCGTCGTCTCTTTTGCTCTGTAGCAAACACTTGCACCATCAAAGGTCAATTTCTTTTACAGAGAAATTGATTAAACCTCTGCAGCTGTTTTACTTTTGATGCATGACAAACGGTTGGTTGATGTGGCCGTTCAAGTATTCAGCATGGCCATCATTCTGTAGCTTTTCCCGATTTGTGATTTTTTATGGGAGCTTTGAGTTGCTAAGGGGCTGTTTGCCTTTTGTAAGGTAAATCATCTGGAGGTGAGAATTGGTATGGATTCCTGTGACTCTGTCCTTGTCTCTTACCTGCATGATTGACATGTGGTTGAGTTTAAAACTTGAGTAGCAAATGCCTTAGTGGTGAAAGATATGCTGAAGAAGATTAACTGAAAAACTAGCAGCTGCATTTCAACAACATGCTAAGATTGGTTGGGGGGGGGCGGGTGTATGTATGTGTGAATCTTATGAGAACCTGTCTTTTTGGCTAGGTTATGGATCAATGTGTTCCATAAGAAGTTGGGTGAATTCAGACCCCGGATGAAGTGTGTTGTGTGAAGACAGCCATGGTGTCCCATGGTGGCTCAGTTCCCAAAGATTGAAATCATATGACACATACTTCCACAGGTGGATGCCTTCTAGTTAAGTTGAGTTTCAACTTTCATGCCCCATGCTGAGTGGGGATCATGGGAGTTGAAGTCCAACACAGCTAGAAGATGCCAAGTTGAAGAAGGCTGATAAGAGCTGCCTAGGAGTAAGTTCCATGAAGCTAAATCAGAATTCTGAATAGATATAAACAAGATTGCCTTATTAGTAAGATAAATCTCAAGGGACCCACTTTTTATCTGAAAGAAGAGTTTCTGCCTTTCATGCAGAAAGATTAAGAGATGAAAAAATGATGCCACTGTATATTTCAAAGCCTCCAAAGTGTCTATGCTCTGAATGAGAGATTCCCTGGTACAAATTTTACCCTTGTTTTGAACTTGTCAGTTAACATAGGTAAATTACTATTTCTCCACTTGGATTCTACCTTCCTTCTTTCTGCAATATGGAGAAGATAATGTTGACCTGTCCTACAGGGTTGTAAGTAGTATATATATGAAGTACTTGCCAGGTTTTTTTTATTAATAGACATAGAAAAGGTGCTGTTAGACAATCAGAGAGCTCTTTTCCAAAAGGTTCAGTCTTTTCTTCTTGCAAAATTCAAGCATGCATCCCTTCATTTCTGAACACTGGATTGCTGAAGCTGAACCCGTGAATCTTCCTTGGATGCTCCTTGGATCAAAGAACACAATGCAAGTGCCTTGGTGTCAAGTCATATAGTCCTTTATAGGTTGAAATCAGCACTTTGAATTTTACCCAAAACCTATTAGCAGCCAATGTGGTGGCCATAACCCAGGTGTAACATCTTCCTGGCTAGCTTCATTTTATACTAATTGTAGATTCCAAGTGGTCTTCCAAAGCAGCTCCAGCCAGAGCGTATTGCAGTAGTTCAACCAAGCAGTAAAGAAGGCATGAGTTACTGTTGTATGACCTCCAAGTAAGAGTCAAAGCTTTGGTGAAGCTGAGTGACTTTGTTGACGAAGTTCTGTGGAAACTGGTCACAACAGGAGTTTCACTTGCTTGTTCGTCCCCAAAAGGGGGTCCACCCTAAACAAGGTGACTGGCCAAAAACCCTAACCCTAACCCTAAGGGAACAGTCATACTAGTGTTTTACATCCTATACCATCATAACATAGGGTAATAATATTGAATGATATTGAACTTGAGCATGTTTCCATGCTTGATCAGGTTCAATTTTTGTTTTCCTCCACCAATAGTCCAACCACTGTTGCTCTTCTGGAAACCAAAGAAACAATCAGTTTAGGCTTACAGAGAAGGTCTGGCAACCAGGCAATCAGCAGAACTGGCTGTCCAATAGTTCAGGACATTCCCAGCAGCCTCTGAAGTCCCCCTGAATCCATGAGGTTCCTGGAATGGATCGCTCTAATAGGTCTGCTCACTCCACAGAGTTCACAGTGCTGGTAATTTCATCTGAATCAGGAAATAATCACACCACGGGCTAGATGTAACATTCTCCATATCAGATTACCTTCAAACAGCACCTTTCAAGTTGATTTGAAAAGGTGAAAACAAGGTCCAATACAACTGACTTGTATGGGTCAGGCCAGGAATTATCTAGGGCAAACCAATGGTGACCATGAAGGCCATGGGCCTTCACAGACTCCGAGGCATGGACTTTAAGAGCCTTCAGCATAAAAATGATGAGGGAATTCCAATACCAGGCCCAAGTTCAAGTCTAGGAACATAGGCAGGGACTCTCCTGTATAGCAAGACAGCTATTATACTAGCAGGTTCTCCAGCTTGTTCCAACCACCACCGCCACCCCAAAAAACCCTGAACCTTCTATTGCAACTATT